ACTACGTCGTCGTACGCCTGCGTGAAGTGCGCTTGACACCATACTGCGTGAAGCTGAATGTAGCACTGATCACAAAAATATGCGAACCAAATCGTACATATGCTTTCGCGAATGTATATATTGCTCGCCTGTCGTAAATCAGGGGAAATTAAATGTTGGTTCCCTAAGTAATATTGGTAAGAGGATAGAGTTGAAGGAGATAACCAACCGCCTTGGAACTGTGATAAATTATCTCTAATTATAACAAAACCCCCACCACTCATTAGTAATTTAAAATTCATCCATCCGTATAGCTTCTAAGTGATGTGTCGTAAACTCGATATGCGGAAAGTCCTAGCTCGTGGGGGTAACTGCTGTCCTCCGCACAGTCGGTAACTGGCATGGCAGTGGAAGATGAGCGGGGCTATACCATAGTCAACTGTCAATCATGCAGGTCCGTGGCCGTCACCCATGGCTTAGTGGCACTAGCTGCTGGCATCCAGAAGTCATGGGGTCGGAACCCGGCACGGGTCCGCTGGGAGGCGCACCACTGACGAGACCCAGAAGATCGAAACGGCGCTGCTTGGTGCTTTCCAGACACATTAAAGTGCCAACTGTGTGGACTGTGATGAAATAACTTTGAATTAGACAAAAAACCTCACTACTCATTAGTAACAAAAATTCGTTGACTCATTGAAGGTTGTGTCTAAACCCAACTTGAAGCCACTACGGGCGTTGCTAGAAAACACTTTAGACTATGAAAGGGCAAGTGCACCGGAGCTAAAGGTATACCACCATGAGCGTTGAAAAACAGCGGACCCGTGTTGATACATGCGCTGTACCACTTGGTGAAACACGTGTGGTTTGAAGAGGAAGTGGCGGTTGACTTGAAGGATGCCCTTGTGCTACCCCTGTAGGACATCAAAAGGAGCAAACAAAGCACCGAATTATCGTAGCAGCAACTTATTGAGCTGTTGTCGCACGATAGCTGCTCAATCGCCTCGTCACTCTGCTCGTTGAACCGAACGTGGCGCAGTAGCATGGCGGATACTGTTCGGCCAGCAGTATCATATATACGGTTTTCGCGGCTCATTAGTCGCAGGAGAAATGCAGAGAGCGACAACAGCCATTGTACTCGTTGAATGTAGACTTAACCAAGGCATTTGACACAATGAACCGCAACGAACTGCGGCTGGTGTTGGGTAAGTTTGGTTGTCCGAGTACGTTTGTAAGTTTAGTTGAATGCATGCGCAGTGGTATGCTCGTGAGGAGGAGTCTTCGAATCGACCGCGAACGTTGGTGGGTGGCAAGGGCTCGTGTGATAGAGAAAGTAAGTGCTATTGGGAACAGCAGAGTGCTATTCCAGCTCATCCGGAACACCACTTCACGCTTTTGATACCTAAGGAGCGTGATCTCTGCCGAACTACAGATGACGAGCGAGACGCGCATCCGCGTATCAAAAAGCGGCTGCTGCACTTGGAAAGCTGGAAAATCAGGTGTGGAGCAAACCAGCTAACTGTGTACTGGTCGATGGTGCAGCCCGTTCTTCTATAAGTCAGCGAAACACTGACGCTGTACCGGAGGGAGGTCCGTTATCTGGAGTGCTCCCATCAACAGTGCATGCGTCGGATTCTGTGCATCGGCTGGAGTGACCGAGTTGCTGACACGGAAGTGCTCCACCGCGGCGGCATGTATGCAGTGGTACGCATAATTCTGCTGCGGCATTTGAGGTGCTTCGGGCATATCAGCCGCTTGGATTCGACGCAGATACCCAGGCAACTGCTACATGGAAAACCAAATGCAAGGAAGCGGCACGTGGGAAAAACAAAGCTATGTTACCAGGACATGATCAAGGTGAGTTTATCACGAACTAATATTGATTTCAGCTGTTGAAAATCAAGGGCAGTTAATCAGCGCGAGTGACGAAAGCTTATCAAGAGGGCAGTTGCCCAGGTTTAGGAAAAATTACTGCTTCATACGGAAGCGAAACGTCCGTTGAGAAAGTGGCAGGCGCCGATGAGTCTAGCCCATCGACTTCGAGCGCATAGTGCTGTAGCAAATGCGGTCGCGAGTGCCTCAGCCAAGCCGCCTCAACAGGTCACTAGTATGGCCGCACGGGTCCAATATCTAAGAAAATACGAGTCAGCTGCATATGTGATCATTATCTGCAAGCGTTTAATAAGCACGCTGCTCCAGATTCCATGTACTAACGCAGCCCAATAATCCGGTCGATGTGGCATGTGCGCTACATGATGATCGCGATTTGTATGTACGTGTGCCTCCGCTTATCTACTGCATTTCGGGTGTTGATTGTCCAGCATCACACCGGATCTGAGAGGATCCTATTTTATTTTATTTGCTCAGTTCCTTTACTCCTCCCCATATTCACTATTTACAGTTATGGTTGCCAACTTCACCAATACACTGGGTCGGAGTTAACAAACATTTATTTTATTTACTCTGTTCTGTCATTCTACCGCATATTTACTGTCCAGTTTGTGTTTATTTTGTTTTCTATTCTGTATTTGTTGTTTGATATCCCCCATGTGGCTGCGCCTGATATGAATGTTGACAAAGTGCCTACCTGTCGAAAAACCGCTGTCCCGACTATACTGGGTTCAGGAACAGTTGATCATCACTGGTGAAGACGGAGTGCATGATTCTCGTGACCGTGCTAGGCTCAAACAGCGGACTACGATCCAACTACCTCCTTGTGTACGTCTGGTACGAATGATCCCCTAATTAGATAGACAGGAATGCTGCTTTACATGTTGAAAAAGTGTGCGCCGGCTCCGTTGATTAAACATGGCTCACATCCACATGCCTCCCGGTTTTTTACTTCGGGCTTACACTGGATATTGGGTGTATGGATGGAGCTGTGGGTGGTGCAGCGCGAGCCACCCATGATCTCTCTGTAGGTGCAGGCGTCCTGTGTCTGTCCTCGTGGAGGCCACAGTGGCAGTCAAATCCGGAATCGGATACCGCCAACAATGGTTGGAACCATCTTCGTACATTTAACGACCATTTGCGTTCGTTTTTCCATGGCCATGCCTATACCTCGTCGAGAATAAACATTATATATTCATCAAACCGATTAAGTATCAGTCGTGCTCTATGTCATTTCAACTGAGCTTATAAAAGTCGTCCATAGCTTTTCGACAGAGGACGGTAAGCGAACACCCTAACTCTTGTGACCGAGATAATCAAACCTATAGCTACAGACTTATGTGGTATAACTGTACAGGTAAGGGAAATGAGGTAAGGGAAATGTCACAACACCCTAACACGCAGTCTTGTTGCAGCTACATTCTGTACGTCTTTCAAATCATTAATAAATCTTTCGCTTGTCATAGATAATCCCATAATAGTGTTTTACTTATCATTCGAATCCACCATTCCACAATGTTTAGTTATCCCATATGTTGGCCACTAAATACTGTTCCTCCTCCCTTAAAGGTTTCTAGTTGAATACGTCTTCTAGTTAGCCTAAGGTGGAGCATAGACAATAGTGATTGGATGTTCTCAGCCCAGCCAAAAAACCCGCACATCATCATGCACAATCTTAGCAACAGATATTTGCATGTGTCGCGGAATACTGAATAACTTACTGCTTCCAATGAAATCCTCCTAGCAGCATCGGGATCTTATAGTACAGGTTGACCCGCGAACAAGCTGGTGTGGAAGAGCCAGCTCTGAGCAACGGTCTTACGAGTTTGTATGTACGGTCAATGACATGCACGGAAATTGCTTGTATTCACTCCCATCTGGATGTGCTTCTGATCCATACTGTCGTTAATCATGTGATACACTTTGCTGAATTTTAGATTTTGCACATGTAGTTGTAAAAAACTGCTTCAAGTTTCTACTAGCCATACAAATCCGTTAGTGACAACCGGATTTCCTGGACGGGGTTGTACCTCGTGTTGTCTAGGAATATACAATCTATCAAAAGAGGTGGCCTGATCTTCACGATTCACATTGCAAACATCACCACACGTGACAAGATTCGCTTCAGTGCGGTTCTATAATTCAAAGTGAAGATAATGACTACGACTGGATTGGGATACGGCTGGAGGGATGTAAGCTTAACATGAAACGCTTGAATGTGTTACCAAACCACATCACTCGAAAATATAAACAAAATCCTGTGAAATGCAGCGGTGAACTCATTTTATGAAATGAGGCAAGGTCAGAGTTCTATCCACGGCCTAGAAGAGTTGAGAGGCTGGCCTTCGAGAAGTTCGAAGTGAATTTGAGGATGTTGATAAGGCATTCTCAATGCGGTAGAAATACCATCAGGCCGAACCGGGGTACATCCTGACGAATTGCAGCCGGTTGTTAGGAAACAAAAACCGCCGATGTGCGTATGGATTTGGTCAACGTGGTTATAGGACAGTTTTTCGTCACTTTAATGACCATTGTGGAGATAAAATCATCGTTAAGAGACCGAAGTGTCGCCTGGATTGTGAGGCAAAAGCGGCTGCAGCACTTATTTCGTTGCAGCGCATAATATGTCAAAACATCGTGATACCAGTGAAAACGTCGTAGGTTACGACAAAGATTGGTGTTATGTTTGTCTGAAGCAATGAGCGGCAACAAGAAACATGCATTCTGTCTGTATGAAGGTGATGCATTGACAAGTGCGCTAAATTCCCCACGAGATGCGGGAAACTACAGGCGTCATGAAGCTGGCAGTAGTCGTCGTCTATTACCCAGGAAAAGTGATAAATTGACCCAAGACATAAGTGCACAAAGTGATCTGTCACGTGTTAATCACAGTCCCCCGAGAACAGCAGACGTGTTGTGCGACAGTCAATGACGTGGCAATCACTGCGAATCATCATAGACTCAATAAAAACACGAGCGAACATATGTAGCGCAGGCACTTTATCGCACATGCAAATGGCCAGTCAATGAATAATAGGATGGGAGTGCCATTGGAATGTATACATGGGGTTACTGTTTTAAAATGAATGAGTACTGTTCACACCGGATTCATATGAAATAAACGCCAACGTGTACTGTGCTTAATGCCGTACGAGAGTGAGAAGCTAACAGAAAAGAATAAATGTCACATTAGTAATGCAGACGAACCTCAGCGAATGGTAAGCATACGAGACACGGTTAGGCGGATGAGCGCCCACCATAGAAACAAGTGAAGGTGGAGGAATGTTCGGACGACGAATAGTACCATTCAGAAAATTGACAGGGTTCAGTCCGGAACCGGATGTCGAAGGATCGGGCACCTGAGGTAAGCGTGAGGTGTGAGGTGGAACTGTTGGAGGAGACACCACTGATGAACGGGAGACATCAGCAACCAACCGGAATGGATTCGATTCACTTGAAAGCCGTGCGAAAAATAGGGAAGGGAAAACAATGAAATTAAATAACAGGAAAAGTACCCAGATAATAGAGATCTGTGTTTGGATCATTTAAAGGGTTAATCGGTCGCAGAGAGCGCATAGTTTTTGCAAAAAATGGGTGAACATTGGCCACACCAAGCTCATACAAATACGAGGTGGTACGGTCTCGAAGAATTAACTGACAGCCTGCCTCCTAAGTGACTGAGTAGGTGAACGCTGATTAGCATATTGCACGAAGCCGTAAGCATGTGCTGCCTGAAGCTAATCAATGTATTTCCGAAAGCACTAGAACAACAAAAGGTGTGGAAATCTAGGTAACGAGATAGGAAAGTCGATAAAATAGTCCGGCTTGTGGATAACCAAGGAACGTGAGGAAATTAAAAAATAATGCTAAAGAATTCCGCACATCGACGAAAATCGAAAACCTAAGTGACACGAGGTTTATCAACCTATGACGCCAACGATTCTGGTTCATCGTAAAGACTCGATTGAAGAAGACGAAAATATGGTGGTAATCAGTGGTCATTTGTCTCATTTCAACTTATTTGTCAATCAAGGTCATCGTACCGAAAAGCCGTGGAGCGAGGACACAAAGTTTGAGCCAGCAGCAGCAAGGCAAAAACATTAGCAATGACAATAAACTGTGAATTATAAGAGATAGGAAATTGTAAGAGATTGAGACGGTCGATGTAAGAGGGACTACTATCTACTTCAGAAGCAGTAGGAACCTAGCCATTTGGCTTTGGCAAGTGAGGTCATTCGCAAGAAGAGAGCACGCGCATCACTGCGAATGAGCTTGCTTGAGCCATGGTACAATGCGAACGCCTTCGTCCAGGCCCATTAAGTCACACCCGAAACATGAATGGCGCGTGCAGCTTCATGAACAAGTACCGTGGTATGAGCGCAAACAGTTGTTTGAAGAAGGTCCGAGCTGCGGAATGAACTGTGCGAGACACCATTCATCTGTGGTCGATAGGACGTCACCTTTATGTAACTATATGCTCTGTTCTACCCATCGCAGACATTTCAGTTGGTGTGACCGTATTTCTGGCAAGGTTCACAGAGATCAGCATGGATAATTTAAGCCCAACGCAGTGCATGCCCGAGGTCAGCTAAATTGCAAATATCTATTTCAATAAACCCCATCAACCAGTAGACCATTTCCGAAGGACTTGTGAGCTTGGAAAACTAGAGGAGTCATTTTGAAGCACTCGTTTGCTATTGGATTGCGACGCGCGTAACACATCAGGCTTAAAGGGACTTAGAAAACGCATACAAATGACGTCTGAGGCCATTGCGATCAGGCTAATACAAGATGAACTGTGCAAGTAGAGGACGCTAGTGAGGCGCTTCTTCTGCCATTGGCCGTACTTTCCCTATGAGCGCTATTCACCTCAATCACAGGCGGTAATTCACCCCATCGGACAGACGACGGTCGTGCAAAGTGTACACGTAGGAGCAATGTAGCCTGCTTAGACTTGATCAGCTCTAACCTAGGTTTACCAGTTTAGTGCAACGTTTGCCCATTTTTATATAGCTAATTGAGGGTTCGTCGCATCCAGTTTCAAATCAGATAGTCGTTCACATGCCCGGAAAAGCACCAGACTGCAGTTTCAGCCTGTTGGGCATCATCAGTAGTGCGTATCCATCAGGGTTCGAACCCATGATCACAAGCGGCTTGCGCTGCCAGTCAGCAGCTTATGCCACTGGGCCACGAGGGACAGCTTCGGACCGTCATGATTTAAAAGCTAACTGCGATATAGCGCGTCATATCCCCCACTGCCATGTAGGTTACGAACGTTGCAGAGGACAGGGTTGGCTCCGAAAGACACGACGTCCACTAACAGTAGATAGGTAAGAGATAACATTTTTAGAGACTGTCAAGGCGGATATTTCGGTGTATGCATGAGTTACATATAGGTACTAGCCTGATGAAAATTGTTGAAAAGAAATGCCTTTGCTGAATTGAATAATATCTTATAGCAAACGTGGGTACAAATACTCATTAAACGGTGGCACAGCCACCGAGGAACGAGACTGCGTAGGGAACTAAGTTAGCGTGGTGCATGCGTTAGACAACGTATGACATAGACTTTCAAAATGTTAGGTGCACCAGGCGGTTGCGGTCTACCATACGAAAGCGAAGTGCTGAAGCACTGGAAGCAACCAAATCCAAAAATCACGCGAACGGAATAAGTGGGTTAGAGCTATTGAGTGCCTGGCGTCCAGTCTGATGAGCGTCGGTGGATGGACGCGGACCTGCGCTAGACTAACGACACCAGTCCCATCAGCGAGAATTCAGACACCATTGTGATTTTTCACTAGTTATCTGATCAGTTTCCTCTCACTGAACCGACATACGCCTGTAATTGTTCGTTGGTTAAAACCTTTTTTGCGAATCTTGGACCATGTTTGGCCCAAAATGTTACACAATTTAATTAAGTTCACTTGATCTGCAGCTTTGGTGCCGGAAGCCAAATGTTTCTCAGCAAAGACGGTAACCGGTTGTTCACAAGCCCCTCTGAAATGATGCCTTCCCTATCGGTTCCAAGTATATTCAAGATATCGAGTACATATAGAGATCTATTGATCCTACGGCAAATGGCCAGTACAAGTTATTTCAGTGTGAATATCAAGGGGAAAGTGACGTGAGCATTCATGTGCAGGAGACGGCATTAACGTCGCGCACGCCGTGCCGGTTCGCTGCAGTTGTGAAGTATCCAACACAGTGTCGATGAATATGTCAGCCTTAACTGCACACGACGCGAATGGTGACAAGGAAGCTAACAGTCAGACCTCCGTACCGAGATAGCCGATTGCGCAAGAGACGGCTAATCACTGATGGGAGAAATGAAGTGCGCAATAGTAACGAAAGTTCCAGGTACAAAGGCGGTCGTATTAGGGAACGGTTTATACGGTTCAGTCACTGTTGTGCATGCGTACTCTTCCCCCAGACATATAGCAATCGCTGGTCGAGCACTCACAAAATGTGCACATGTCCCTTCAGTCGGCTCCTGTGGATCGTCATGGTTCTGTTCGCTCGCAGGTTACTGGGAACAATTTGATGTACAGCCTGCTACGCAACTTAATACAACCCGGTAAATCGGTGGAACGGCAGAGTGGGGAACGCCATGAGGCCATTTGTGAAGTTGTAACATGTAACAGAGAGTTGTAGTAATAAGCAATTCTGATATAAAGTGAAGCGAAATAACCCACACGGTAGTGAGGATAACGGAGATCCCCGTACACTATTATGAGAAAAAACTGTACCTGATTATATCTGCGGCACTCGGCTGACCATGGAGCAATCGTGGCTTTGTCTGTAGCTGCTGCTGATATTCCTTCTGTGCTAAATCTGCACCGCCATTTTGCTTGGCAGTCTCCAGGCTAGCACAGAAATCGGTTTCTTTTCGGTAACAAGGCAGAGCTGATGTAAAACTTGGATTTGGGATGGAAGCGGTGTTGTTAAACACAGACCGCTGCTCACAAGTGGACGCCCGCGAGATGGGTGAGGACGTGGCTGCTAGTGTAGACCGGGAAGCAACAGCGTTCGAAGGAGATGCATAAGCGTTGGCCGATTCTGTAGCCGCTGTTAAGGCAAATGAATGCAGAAAAGCCGCCACATTCAGCACACAGAAAATGAAAACCAAACTCCAATGTGTATACAGTGTTCTGTGTGTGTCTACAACTAAAAATCGTCGGAAGTCACACAAACAGACAGTAATTGACGGGGGAACCCTCAGCAATGAAGTGCATTTAAAGTTTACTCGCGTTAAACACCAGCGAAAAAATCAATGATGTAGCGGAACATAGTATACCACGCGGCCGAATGCTGCAATACATTCCCGTCGAACATGCAGCGGTACTTACACTCAGAGATGGGAGAATATATCACTGTGGATCTCAATACTCGAGATAGTTGCAGGGGTTTAGGAAATGGCATAGTTAGGTGCTAAGATTTCAAGTAACGCTGCGTAACCCAACCAAAACGGTTAAAATGTTTCGGAAAGCTACTTATCCTGGATTGGAGTATCACGATGAAGTAACTGCAATAAGGTTGATGGTTTGGGATGTGCTGCAGTTGGGAGTCCCACAAGTCAGAAGGGAGCACGACTAGTGTAATCGATGCGTAAACAGCGCAGGGATAGTATTCAAACAGCAGGCCAAAATCGAAAACGAGACTAGTGTCGCAGTGGCATTAGAGATGCGAAATTCGGTCAGACTCCCTTGAAGATATAAGGAAAAACTGCATCCAAGGGGTGGAATGGGAGCACAATGACCCACCAGTTAATACCATGATCAATGAAATCCCGGTTATCGGACTACAAAAGGCGAAAAAGTTAACCTTTGCTAAACGCACACAGTGTTATAGATAGGGGAATTCAGTGATTCCGTCGAATGGAAAGGCAACCTTGATATGTCCATGGGGAATAGTAAACACACACACACACACGAGAACGGGAAAACGGCGGATCAGATGGCTCTGCGTTTTTTTAATTCCAAAGGATGGCGGTACCAGATCAGTGTGAGTATGATGTGCCAACTATAAGACATTTGTGACGGTTCGATTGAATGATACCCAAGTGCATGTGTCTACAAAGAGGGAGACAGAACGGGAAAACCCAAGTCAACGAACCGGGTGCACCGGACAACGGGTGCGTGCTGTGCTTTGTAAATGCCACAATGGATCGATACAGCTATCATCAAAGGTGTGACCGGGGAGAGGTCTAGAGCTATGCACGCAACACCGATTTACGGGTAAGCAAATCGACAACAAAAAATGTGGCAATTTTTATACAACAAAACATGTTTGGGCCTCGTAATGGGGCTACTTACCTGAAACGGGAGTATTAGACTTGCGACGAACGGAGGGTAACCTGGAAACACAAAAGCGGTATTTTCCTTATACAACGTTTTCGACAAGGCGTAAGGATTACATGCAAAGGCAAGTGCCAAGGGGGCACATTTCCCTGTAGAAATGACAATGCAGTTCCAGTTAAAGCGCATTAAGCACCAGGAGAGTGGACTACCGCGTGTGTCAAGTTGAGGCGAGAGTAGCACCCCAACAGTACTACAAAGTAAACGGACGATTACTTTCTGCTGAATGAGTTAGTTTGCAATAGTTGTAGTTAATCAAGTAACAAGAGGGGCGCGATAGACTATAAACAAACGGTAATGCAGACGTGGGTCTACCGACAACATATACCGGCCTCGTGCACGCATCGGAGGGAATTTGTGAGATACGACGAAGTATCAAAGAAGCAGTCTAGTCTCCAAGAAACATTAGTAAGCCGGTTACCAGAGATACGTGGATTAAATGCACCCAACTTCATGTCATGCAAGATTAGAGTGGGCAGTCAAACAAATGGACCAGAAACTATGCTGCTAAAAGACCACTTCGCAGAAAAGCAAAAGCAACAAACGGGACTTCAAGCGTCCCGGAGGGTTCCAATGGTTACGTATAATATCTAACCATAGAAGAGGCAGCAGAAGAACGCCGGTACCTCGTACAGACGCTTCGTTGCCACGCGACCACCACCAGTCGCGTGTGGGGTAGGAATGCTGTGAGGTCAACTGAAACGGTGAATTGCGAATTACAAGCCTGACACCTGAACCACTCGGGTATTGATCGGTGTCTGATATTATGTCTGGTAACGTCTCGAGGCAATTATAGGGTGGCTCGAGTGTACACTATCCGGGAAGGTTAGACGAACCAAAAGGGGCACGGTTTAGATCTCAGTGACTACATTCTTCAATGTAGGGACAATGCATGCAGCATGAAGCTGTCGTCACCGAGGTAGCAGGTAATAGAAACGTTAGTAATCGAAGTCGGAAGTTCCAAGAGGATACGTTGAAACAGAAAGAAGGAAGAATCGACAGTAGTCTATGTTCGCTTATCCTCCCTGATGTATGCAAATGGCAAGCGTAACTCTTCCGATGCTGCACCTTCGGATGTACGCAGGTAAGGCATGCTCGGAGTAATCTACGATTGATAAAATGAAGGACAAAATTGTGCGGTAGTAGTAATGCCGATTCTCACGAACGCTGAATGGCCGGATATATGCAGAGATAGTTACGGATAGGAATGTGTGCAGTGCATCGGTGGAACATACATCCCATAGGTGGAAGTAACGAAACATGCAAACAAGTGATGGGCGAGTGAGAAAAGGGTAACGCATCAAAGAGCAAAATGGAGTTCGTTGCAGCAAGGATCAGAATAGGGAGGCAAGGTAAACTGTACATCGGATCGCCACGGAATGCCACAGCGCCGAGGGGAGCAGGAAGAAGATAAATACGAGCCAACGACATATCACAAGACACACCTGGCGAAGTTGGGTTCGCACGTTGAAATCTTTGATGGTGTTGCTTTGTCTAAAATCAAGAGGGGACGAGAGGTACTGCAATGAGGGGATTTATTTGCCTTGTAGATGAGAGTAACAGGAGAAAAAATTATCTTCCCCGGAACTGTAATGATATGGACAGATGTCCGACAACAAACACAGTTCAACAATCATAGTAGTGGCAAATATCCCAACGCCTATAGTCGCAGTTGCTTGAAAAACTGCGGAACGAGAAAAGTGTAAAAAGGTATAGTCGGCGAAAATTTCGGTAGCCTGTGTTTCCTGGGCTACCAAGACGCTACAACAGCAAGCAAGTCCATTTAAAAACATACAGCCTATTTAACATTCCAATCGACAACAGTAATATCACAGTATTAAGTACTGATGCTTCGCTGCTATGCAACAATAGAACACCCATAGCTGAATGTGGCCTGATATGTTTCCGAGATGCACAAACTCGGACAAGTTGAGACCAGACCAGTTGGTTGAAAATAATTTTTGATAGTGGGCTGACTTCCGGGGAGCTCATGTCATAAATGGGTTGCAGTGTGGGATGAAACAGTCACGCGCTTCCGCTGCCAAGTTGAGAGAGAGTTATAAACGTGAGTACTCCCTCTTCAAAGAGAAGATAACCACATGCTCAAACTAAGGTGCTAAGTAAATTAACAAATACAAATAACCTGAACAGCTTGTGTCCCAGGGCATAGACAGCTAACGAAGTTCAGGGAGAAGGGACGGGCTACAGAACAAAAGCACAGACACGAGCAAATAGGCTGCATCAATTCAACATACTGCCGCAACAATCAAATCTTAAAGTGACGTTTCACTCATATACCACATGTAGGCGGACACAGTAGTTTTATTATCACCGTTTAAATGTTATTTCATATACGTTACTGTTGGCAAAAGTAAATCAGGTACGAAGAGATCGAAAGTCACAAATGACGGTGCCGATGTGGTTACAGCCGAATCTGAAGTTAAATTATCCAAAATTCTTAGAGAATCGGGAAGAAAAGAAAACCGACACATTCAGTTAATGTTTAATTTGATCAGTGGCAAAAAAGTAGATCGCGGCGACAACGTGTCTCAAATTGTAAGTATTTTCAACAATATCATTTAAGCAGGAGAAGCTTAAACTGATAACAAAATCTCGGCCTGGCGATTTGATGTTGCTACCGTATGCGTACAGCGTTGGAGCACAGAAGAGAAGCGGATTGCAAACCGGAACCACAGCTCAGTGCTACGCTAAAAATAAACTAATATAAGATCTTGTGCAGAAATCGGACACAAAGGAAGTGATTTAGTGAATATTTTTTCGTAAGGGAGGCGGGATCCAACTCGTAATCGAGCATCGCCATAGCAGAAGCGGAAGGAAACAGGCATTTCTTCAGTACAGGCTTTTCGCTTATACGTAGTACGTGGGCTACGTTACTTTTTTTACCATCCGGCTAGGTGTACCAAGGAATCGTGACCCCAATACAAAGTAAATAATTTCACCACAGTGATCGTAATGACAGTGGCAAGTTTCATACAAATCGTCGGTTAATAACTCAGAGCCGATGAATGGAGATGGGAAGCAGGTGAACGGGTGATAGTTCAAACGTAAAGTTTCCGTATGGTGAAATTCTGTGAAGAAAACGACATTTACCAGGTTTATTCAGTGAAATTTCTGAAACAATCGTCCAAAAAATGACAAGGCGTAAATATTAAAAGGAAGATTGGACATACCTGACGATCTTCGATTGGACGCGCTATTTAGTTGTAGTGCGTCAGGTGAAGGAACTACCGTAACGGCGACAGAAGCAACGCTACATTCGGATTGTTTCGCCCGTCTCTCTCGATTAATTGATCGAGAGGCGCATGAGTGCCCAGAATCGGTGGATTCTGAACCCCATTCACGGTCGTATAAGTCACTGTTAGAGAGATCATCTGATGCGGAGGATGAAGTGGAAGAGGAGCGTGTCGCCTCATTCGAGGTTAGAGCAGAGAGATCGACCCTTGAAGGAGCGCGTCGGGCACAAGATACCGGGGGTGAATTTTTACTAGCCCCCCGATGTTCTTCATCCTCTCGAGCTAGAGGTGCAGCGAAGCTGGGCTCATAATTCAGTGGTTTTGAAGAAGGTACAGGACTAGCTGCAAGCACTGGAGGAACGATCGCACAGGCAGGTATGGAAGGCCCGTTCATTAGCTTCAGATGGGCAGTGGTAATTGCAGAAGGTCGCATCGTAATGACAGGAGCTTGACAATTAAAAGAGGGTGATGTGATCGAAAAGTCCGGAGGTGGAGCCTGGGATGGTGGCGCGGTAGTTGATGAGCATGGACCAAAAGTGGTTGTGTGAGCAGACGTCGCAATCGCTCCCGCACTTGTGATTGTTGCTGTAATTAGTTACGGTGAAAATAAACGGTGGGTTAGCGGGAAAAAATAGGCATGAGGTCCGTTCGACTAGTATATGCAAAGACGCTTAGCAGAAACACACTCATATCGGGGGTGAAACAAAGATATTAGAGGAAAATGTCAAACACTAGTTAAAGTGATTAGGACATAAAGCCGGCTGAAGTGGGGTTCTTAAAATGTGTAAGTGAACTACGAAAAGCGTGCATAATAAGTAAAAAAAGGATTCCACACATAATTGGTTTAAACAATGGCGTGAATTCGTTATACCTGGGGCTCCCCTAATGATAAATGGTGGCCAAAGTGAATGCAGCAAATATATGCTAGCTGGACTTCGATTCACAAAACCGCAGCGGGTCGATTATAGTGACCAAAAGGAGACCACCAACTGCGAGTGGCGGGATATACTTATGTGAATGCTAGTGTGACTGTTGCAATCTACATCTCTCGAGTCTACGTGCATACCCAGATTAAGTAAAGTCACATTCGAATATCAAACCAGCCACTTGGGTAAGTAAATTAAACAGGCACCGTTAGAAACACATATGACGTCGGGTTAACGTGCCAAAAGCATAGCTAACTAACTTTATCAAAGTGCACAGCTTGCCCCAAGATAAAGACATTTCGATTCAGAGCGACTAAGTGGCGCTTAGGAATCCTGCCACCCTACCTACAAGTTTCCTAGCCCAAAACATAATAACGTTTCGGTGAGCTATGGGGAGGTGAAGAGAAACCATGGAAATAACGCGGATGATGATGATAGCGAGAAAGCATACCGGAGGAAGGCATACTAGTCTTGGACTCTATGCTGGTAGCGGAACGACGAAGCTGACAAGGACGGCTGGAGGGAGGAACAGCTGTAGCGACGGTGATGCGGCCCGATTGCACTCCAGAGGTTGTGCCGCCCGAAGATGAGCTCGTTTTGACTACCGAGGATACGGAACGTGTCGACTGTTGTAAAGCCACTGCTTCTTTCAGAGTAGTTTGTGTTGGTGGATCTATGCGACAACGAGCGGAACTAATGCTGCTCCGAGTGGGCACACCCCCGTCAGGGATACGACGGTTGTGAGCAAACGTACCAACGTTAGCCTGTGGTTGAAATGACGCAGAAAGAGTGTTGGATGGTCGCGATGAGTGCTGAAGTGGGACGGTAGTGACCACGGGTTGAATACCCCCATTAAGAACTAGTTCTGCTTGACGGGGCCGCGTGTCGGATTTGCTTCCGCGGGCCTCATCGGTTGAACGGAGACTAGGAAGTCTGCCATGTACTTGGGGGTCATATTGGGCGAGGAGAAGGTACGTAGCGGTTATGTTATTGAAACGCTGTTGGATTAGTGCTTCTTGAATTTCATTTGGCTGGAATCCCATACGGATCATTGTTTCTGCATAAGAGAAAAACAAATAGTTCGTTACCAGTAGTAGACAACGATTAAAAATGTCTAAAAGTGAACGATGGCTCCAATGAAGCGGCAATAGGACATAAGCTCTGATGTCATCCATACTGCCACGCCCAATGGTAATTAAGGCTGCTGAAAACATTATCGAAGAGGAAAACGGGATATCACAGTATGCACGAAAGGATGAGGGTCAGTAGTGAAAAGATGCAGCGATGGTCCGGACAAATGTCCAAAGACACGCTGCCTACGCTAAGCACATGTCAGACGTACAAGCCAGAAATGCGCTCGGGACTTATGGATTCAGTGCCATGGATGCATAAATGTGGCAGCCACCAGTATTTGATTAAAAAGTGGTTGGCACCTACGTAGATGGGTGGGATGTCCACTAGTGGTTAAGTTGAAGTAGGTTGTACGTAATCAAATAGATGTATTTTTAGTGGTTTACAACATCGCCGCGGATGTGCCTAAAATTAGCATCAATCAAGATTTCAAAACATGGACAAAAACGGGACATAAACATAGCTGTTGTCATAGCAACTGCTCGCACAGCAGACTGGTTGAACCGGGTGCATTCAGAGAATGTAGTTTAGGATATTAGGTCCGAGTTATCATGACGGATCAATCGGAATAGATGCGTGGATTTCAGGATGTCAATTGGAGCAAGCAATCAGAATACCAGAAACAAGCCATCATCATTGTTCCTCACGTTACCGAAAGCTACAAATCATGAGCCAAAAAGAGTTAAAGTAACATCGGCCACAACATCAGTGAGATTAGACCGAGCCGTGAGTATACCGGTTCGATAGTAAAAAGCAACAGTGATTCATTCGTTGGTGGAATTGGACAACTGTAACCAACTAAAGTCTAGAGTGCATAAAAATGCACAGGGATGGCTGAAAACCTGATGCAAAGAGCATGCGAACTGCAAGAAGTAAGAGCAAGTAGTGCAGTTCGTTAGTAGATCGTCTTACGATTCCTTCTAGTCTGACTATACACGAATGAGGCGCAGTAGGTATGCACAAATTTGACCGAATAAGGTAACGCTAAGATACAATGGAACAATAGTGTATTGGAATAGAAAGGAATCGTTTAACAGGTCCCGTAGAATGGCCAGAATAAGAACCAAAAATGATGAAAAGAAAACATGGTGATAGAATGAAAAGCATTTTGGTGGCTCACCATAGTGTCCACAGAGAGGCATGCAGAAAAGAGTCAACCTCGATTGTGTAGGCCAATGCTGATCAATCAGCGTTTGTCACATTGTCTTCTGTTGCTATACACAGGCTATATCATATAACGTAGTTGGGTTAGGGCAACGTCAGCGCGCTTTTTAAACAAAAAGTGCGAATGGGAACAACGCAGTGTGGGAGGGCATTCCATGGCTGGCAGACATGAAGAGAGTAAAAGTTGCGTCGACATTCTAGCCGACTGTGTTGTGTGGCTAACTAGAACTGGTGGCCCCTCAAATTCGTGTTGTGGCTCAGTTGTAGTAGGTGGCGGCAGAGGCAGTTGGGGTTCCTTATAATCTAGTAGGCCGTAATAAGGTCGCCACGTAGGCGCCGGGTAGGGCCGCTGTATAATTTTAGGGTCCTCAGTCTGAGTTTATAAGGAAGATTGAACAATCCTTTGGCATGTTTCGTGGTTCGTCGCTGTGGAGTCTCGAGCGCAGTGAGATCTTTCTTTTGTCAGGGCTGCCAAACCTGGATTGCGTATTCCACATGAGGCCGCACATAATTGTTAAGCAACTGCGAACAGACAGAGGGATCAAACCGTCCGAATATCTTCTGCAGCATGCCAACGTGTTGGTTCCCAGTCTTTGACGCATTCTCAAATTGTTCTGAGCAGCCCAAATCATCCAGGATTAATACCCCCAAGTCGCGCTCCTATGTGAATGCTTACAGAATATGGTCTCCAAGCTTGTATGTGATGTTCGGTTGGTGACGGATGTGTACTACCGTACACTTAGACGAAGTAATCTGGAGCAAACCGTGGAGTGACCATTCATACGCCCAGTTCTGGTCTCGTTGAAGTGCACCGTGAGCACTTTGATTGGTAGTAGTCCGCCCCATCTTAACACCATCAGCGAGAATGAAAGAAATCCGAGGAAATCAGACGCATGAGCTCATTAAGGAACACGAGAAACAGACGCGACCTCAGAACTGATCCTTGTGGGACTCTACATTCGATATCAATCGGATGGGACAGCGCACTCCGAGCTCCAACATGTAGTTGCCGATTCTGCAAAAATTTCTGAACTATCCAAGGATAGGATCCCAAATCCACAGCTCTCGAGCCTGTGTAACAGAATGCAGTGATCCAGGCGATCGGAGGCTTTGGAGAAATCGAGGTAAATGACGTCGGTCTCTCCCCTTTATCGGCCGTTTGCGTCCAACTACTGCTTGCAATCAGTAGGTTGGTTGTGCATAAACAGTGCTGGCGGAAACCGTGCTACTCTGGTGCTATAATAATGTAGCGTTCTAGATGGTCGTCTAAAGCCTCAGCGATAATTGTCTCCATCACCTTTGAGAGTACAGGGAGAAGGACCACTGGGCAATAGTTTACCGGTTCCCAGCGAGCGTCATTTGCGATCAGACCAGATTTCCAGATGGTAGGCACAATTTGCTTAACCAAGCAAGTTTGGAAGAAATGCGCAAAAGGTTCGTCCAGTATTGTTGCTGCCACGTTCAGCGCCCTCGGGCGAATGTCATCGATTTTGGGGGAAGTGTAGGTGAAGTTTCTTCAGCACAGATGTGGCAGTCAACGTGACGTCAGCAAGTGCTGAAATTAGGGCTATGGAGGTGAGTATGTAATAGTCGCGGACGTCTCGCTGGATGTTCTGGGTATACTGTATCCGTAGAACATTTGCTGCTTCTTTAGCGCTCTCTGCCACTCTGACTGTTATGCTAAGTGGGAGTATATCGTGCCTCACTTTGCGAATAGTATTAATAGGCTTGTATAAGAGCTTTTTGTTTTTGGAAAATTTACAGGCAAAACGTTGTTGGTGAGCCACTTTGTCCTCACGTACATGCGTAGTACAATGGTTGTGCTGGGTCATGTAGACGCTCCAGGTTTCGGGACCAGGACGGGCTCTGTAAGTGTGAGAAGCGGCATTTCTTATTGGCATGAGTTTTGGAGTGCAGCATCTGATGAAGGACGATGGATTAGTGGAACAAACCCGCTTAATTTCTGAAGCAGGTACGATCAGATTGCTGAAGCGACCAATAAACTGAATCCAGGCACTCAGGTGAGCCACCTTTTAAGAATTCGCAATCGGTCACTGCAACAGGATCGGTCAGGAAAATGTAGCGTGTGATAGACGTGCTAGTTCAGTGTGTTCCTCCGGATATTCAGTGTAATACACATAGTTATAAAGTATGGTGACATGATCACTTAGCCCTAGTGGGGTGTTTATAAATGACCTATCGACCATGAGTTCCTCATTGGTAAATACACAGTCTAGTACCGATGATTTATTATCAGCTCTGTACCTGATAGGTGAGGTGATGTGATTGGAAAGTGGAACACTTGCGATAACGTCTTGCAGTTTGGCCTTGAATGTTTCGCTGGTGGATGCCGATGCGTCCATGTCGTGCACGTTGAAATCACCTGAGATTAGGACGTGGTTGTAAGTTAGGAGTAAGATTTTTGTCAATGCCGATATTAGGCGGGAATCCATCTCTAGGGTGGACGAAAGAGGGTGATAAACGACTGTCACGTAGCTGTTATCATTGTATCTGAAAAGTAAACGGCACCATAGCGAATCGGTGGCCTGCGTCTCCGGACCATCCAATAGTTCGCATTGTAAGTCGTTGCGATAGTATAGGATTACACCACCCCTGCTGGGACGATCGCTTCGGAAAAGTGACACACTGAATCGTGATCTCAGCACCCGTAACTATATCTCGGTTATGGAGACGAGATCCCAAACGTTTGTTGCCTGACGCAACTGAAGCTCGGCACTTTTGCTAGAAAGGCTTTGTGCATTGGTGTACATGTAGAAAAATGTTTGGATTCTCAGCAACGAGCCCAAAGACATGTGGTTCGGATGAGGGATTTTGCCGGCCGCTAGCTGTTTTGCAGTGGTATTATCGAAATCACTTGGAGTTGGGTTCGGCAGCATCGTGATTAGCCCCTCTGGTAATCCATTTTGCACAATGAATGGAGAGTGGGTATATGATTGCACAGGAAGGCCCTCGCTTCTTTCATACCTGCTTCTTGTGTGAAGTCCGAATGAAGTTCCTGTACTTGGGCCAGTATTATTTCTCATTCATATCAACGATCTTCCGCAGCAGCTCCAGTCACCATGTGCCCTGTTTGCAGATGATTTGAAAATCTGGAGTATCATTGAAAACCAAGACGACTGCGCTCGCCTCCAGCATGACTTAGAGCGACTGTCAACGTGGTCCACTGAAATGCAACTCCCTCTTAACGCAAGCAAGTCGGAGTTCATCAGTATCACCAGACGTCCAGCCACTCGATCATACACCTTGGACGGCCAGTTGCTCCATCCCAACACATCTGTCAGAGACTTAGGAGTTCTCTCACGACATGATACGAGATCACTAGAAAATACAGAGAAATTGTACCGTGCGGGACTTCGTATGCTCTGGGCATTAAGACGCAGTTTCGCCACATGGTCCGAAGAAACCGTCCCTCGTCTATTCACCTCGCTCATTAGACCAATCCTTGAATACGGTGCCCCAGCTTACCATCCGATAACCCAATGGGAAACTGAAAAGCCGGAGAAAATACAGCATATCGCAACTAGAATGATACCAAGTCTACAAAAGCTTCCGTATGAAAAACTTTGTGAAAGGCTCGGACTCTACACACTATCCTATCGCCGAGTAAGAATTGATCTTATTAGGACCCATCGAGTACTGCACTTGAGCCACTTCCCCATACTGCGGCCAATATTTTACCTGCGAGAACCATGTAACACCCGAGGACATCGTTACAAACTCAGGGTCCCCAGCATGAACAAA